TGAAGCTCAGACCCAGGATGGACGTAGGCTAGAATCTTCCCGGTAAGCGCACCTTGGGGTGCTTACACACATTATTAGAAATGGGCTAAATTAATATGTGAGAATTAGCCTAGAAGAGGCTAGATAGAAATGGGCCAAGCAGTCTTTAAATGAATACAGTTTGTATGTTGTTATTTCAGGCATAAGCTAGCAGGAGGCTGGGGTGCTGGAGACACAGCCCCACCGCTCTTATTTCAACAGGAGTGGATTCCTGTCACCAAGCTGGGCCGCCTGGTTAAGGACATGAAGATCAAGTCCCTAGAGGAGATCTACCTGTTCTCCCTGGCCATTAAGGAATCTGAGATTATTGACTTTTTCCTGGGAGCTTCCCAAAAGGATGAGGTTCTGAAGATCATGCCTGTGCAGAAGCAGACTAGGGCAGGCCAGCGGACCAGGTTCAAGGCTTTCATCGCTATTGGGGACTACAATGGTCACGTAGGTCTCGGTGTCAAGTGCTCCAAGGAGGTAGCCACTGTCATCCGAGGGGCCATCATCTTGGCCAAGCTTTCCATTGTCCCTGTGCGGAGAGGTTACTGGGGGAACAAGATTGGCAAGCCCCACACTGTTCCTTGCAAAGTGACAGGCCACCTTGGTTCTGTGCTGGTGCGTCTCATCCCTGCCCCCGGAGGCACTGGCATAGTCTCCACTCCTGTGCCCAAGAAGCTACTGATGATGGCTGGCATTGATGACTGCTACATATCAGCTAGGGGCTGCACTGCCACCCTGGGCAACTTTGCCAAGGCCACCTTTGATGCCATCTCCAAGACCTACAGCTACCTGACCCCCGACCTCTGGAAAGAGACTGTGTTCACAAAGTCTCCTTATCAGGAATTCATTGACCATCTTGTGAAAAACCACACTAGAGTCTCTGTTCAGAGGACCCAGGGTCCAGCTGTGGCAACCACATAAGGGTTTTTATACAAGGAAAATAAAAGTGAATTAAGTCTGTTAAAAAAAAAGAAATTACCTGTCTGCTTGGTTTGTGGAGTCACATTCATTCCTCCACAGGCATAAGACCCTGAAGTGCATGCCAAATTTCAGCATAGTGTATTGCTCACATGTCCCTAAAAGGTGTTCCAGCCCTATCCCAGTGCTTGAACCAGCATGGGAGAGCTTGACATGGCTCCTTTTGTAAAGTCTGTGCTCAGGAGCCTCTGACATGAACTTGAGCATGCAGTTGGTTACAAGTCTTGAGCCTGGACAACTGGAACTTCTCAAACAGTGTGGGTTGTATGTCAGGAAGTGATGTAGCTTGGACCAGTTTCCTGCCTTTGCTCATTGCTACAGATTTTCCATTTTAGTTATCTCAGAAAAATTCTTCAGAGGCTGTGGAGATGGTTCAGTGGGTAAAGTGATGCACTAGCATAGGAGTCTGAGTTCTGATTCTCAGGACCCATGTAAAGCTGGATCCCACAGCATGCGTCTGTAATCTTAGTGCCCTTCCAGCTGGATGCCACAGTGCGCAACTGTAATCTTAGTGCCTGTCAAGCAGGATGAAGGGCAAAGCCAGGAGGTTCTCCAGGGTCAGATATCCTGGCTTGTGTAGTAGCAAACATACGAAGAACCTATCAGAAGGTGGAAGGTAAAGACTGATACTCAAGGTTGTCCTCATAAGTATGCATGTGTGCTGTAGCACACAAGTGCCCATTCATATCCAAACACATGTGTGCACACACAGATCTTAAGATTCCTCTTTTTAGGCTATCTTGTTACCAGTATATTTATTTTTTTATTTATTATTGATTTTATTGAGCTATACATTTTTCTCTGCTCCCCTCTCATACTTTCCCCTCCCCTTCAACCATCTCCCATGGTCCCTGTGCTCCCAATTTCCTCAGGAGATCTTGTCTTTTTCTACTTCCCATGTAGATTAGATCTATGTATGTCTCTTTTAGAGTTTTCATTGTTGTCTAGGTTCTCTGAGATTGTGAATTGTAAGCTGGTTTTCTTTGTTTTATATATAAAAGCTACTTATGAGTGAGTAAATATGATAATTGTCTTTCTGGGTCTGGGTTACCTCACTCAATATGATGTTTTCTAGATCCATCCATTTGCCCGCACATTTCAAGATGTCATTATTTTAATTTGGTGTGTGGTACTCCATTGTGTAAAAGTACCACAATTTCCTTATCCATTCTTTAGTCAAGAGTCATTTAGGTAGTTTCCAGGTTCTGGCTATGACAAACAATGCTGCTATGAACAGAGTTGAGCATATATCCTTCTGGTATGATTGAGCACCTTTTGGTTATATAACCAAAACTGGTATTGCTGGGTCTTAAGGAAGGTTGTTTCCTAATTTTCTGAGAAATTGCCATACTGATATCCAAAGTGGCTGTACCAGTTTGCACTCCCACCACCAATGGAGGAGTGTTCCCTTTACCCCATATCCTCTCCAGCATAAGCTGCCATCAGTGTTTTTGATCTTGGCCATTCTTACAGGTGTAAGATGGAATCTCAGAGTTGTTTTGATTTGCATTTCTGTGATGTTCACTAAGGATGTTGAACATTTCCTTAAGTGTCTTTTATTTTAGATTCCTCTGTTGAGTTATCTGTTTAGGTCTATATCCCATTTTTTTTTATTGGATTATTTGTTCTTTTGATGATCAAATTCTTCAGTTCTTTGTATATTTTGGAGATCAGCCCTCTGTCTGATGTGGGGTTGGGGAAGATCTTTTCCCATTCTGTAGGCTGTCGTTTTGTCTTGATGACCATGTCCTTTGCTTTACAGATGCTTTTCAGTTTCAGGAGACCCATTTTTCAGTTGTTTCTCTCAGTGTCTGTGCTACTGGGGTTATATTTAGGAAGTGATCTCCTGTGACAATGTGTTCAAGTGTACTTTCCACTTTCTCTTTTCAGTGTGATTGGTTTTATGTTGAAGTTTTTGATTATTTGGACTTGATTTTGTGCATGGTGATAGACCCCCATCCAATCCTCAGAGAGGGTAAGGCACATCGCCTTGTGGAAAGTCCAAGGCCCTCTTTACTATATCTAGTATCAGCAAGGTATGCATTCAAAGAGAATAGGATTCCAAAAAGCCAGTGCATACAATAGGGATGAATCCTAGTGCCACTGCTAGTGGCCTCTCAGTCTGTCCCAGTAATTCAACCACATTCAGAGGGACTATGCTTGTTCCTTCCCAGTCCGACTGAAGTTGGTGAGCTCCTATTCGCTCAGGTAAACTGTTTCAGTGGGCGAACCCACCATGGTCTTGACCACTTTGTTCATATCCTCTTTCTTTCCACTCTTCAACTGGACTTTGGGAGCTCAGTCTAGTGCTCCAATGTGGGTCTCTGCCTTTATTTCCATTAGTCTCTGGGTGAAGGTCCTATGGTGATATTTAAGATAGTCATCAGTCTGACTACAGGGCAAGTCAAAATCAAGCCCCCTCTCCTCTATTGCTTAGAGTCTTAGCCGGGGTAATTCTTGTGGATTCCTGAGAATTTCTCTAGAGCCAGGTTTCTCCTAACCATATAATGGCTCCATCAATCAAGATATCTCTTTCCTTGCTCTCATCTCTGTCCTTCTTCTATTTCGAATATCCCATTCCCCAAAGTTCTCCGCAACCCTCCCCTTCTCCCCTCCTCTTTTCCTTCTGTTCTCCCCTCTTTCACTACCCTCATGCTCTCAATTTTGTCAGGCAATCTTGTCTGTTTTGAATTTACAGGTGAAACTATATATGTTTTTCTTTGGGTGCACCTTATTACTTAGCTTCTTTAGGATCATGTACTATAGGCTCAATGTCCTTTGTTTATAGCTAGGATCTGCTAATGGGTGAATACACACCATATTCATCTTTTTTGGTCTGGGTTACTTAACTCAGGATAGTGTTTTCTAATTCAACGGAATGCAAAATTCAAGATGTCATTTTTTTAAACTACTGAGTAGTACTCTAATGTGTAAATGTGCCACACTTTCTTTATCCATTTTTTTTTTGAGTTGATCTTGTATCCTGCCACATCACTGAAGGTATTGATCAGCTGTAGTAGTTCTCTGGCAGAGTTTTTGAGGTCACTTATATATATTGTCTGCAAATAATGAAAGTTTGACTTTTTCCTTTTCAATTTGAATCCCCTTAATCTCCTTTTGTTGTCTTATTGCTATTGGTAAAACATCAAAAACTATGTTGAAGAAATATGGAGAGAGTGGACAACCTTGTCTTGTTCCTGGTCTTAGTGGAATCACTTTGAGTTTCTCTCCATTTAATTTGATTTTGGCTGTTGGCTTGCTGTATAATGCTTTTATTATATTTAGATATGTTTCTTATATCCCTGATCTCTCTAAGACCTTTATCATGAAGGGGTGTTAGATTTTGTCAAGTGCTTTTATAGTTTTGGTAGAATTCTGCACTAAATCTTTCCAGCCCTGGGCTTTTTTTGGCTGGGAGGTTTTTGATCACAGCTTCTATTTCCCTGCAATTTATAGGTCTATTTAAATGCTCACCTGGTCTTGATTTAATTTTGGCATATGGTATTTTAATATGGTATCTATCTAAAAATTTTCCATTTCTTTTATATTTTCAAATTTTGTGGAGTACAGGTTTTTGTAGTATGACCTAATGATTCTTTGAATTTCCTCAGTGTCTGTTGTTATGCCCCCTGTTTCATTTCTGATTTTGTTAATTTGTATGTTCTTTCTCTGCCTTTTGATTAGTTTGGATCAGAGTTTGTCTATCTTGTTGATTTTCTCAAAGAACCAGCTCTTCATTTCATTGATTCTTTGTATTGTTTTTGTTGTTTCTATTTTGTTGATTTCAACTCTCAATATTATTATTTCCTTTCTTCTCTTCCTCCTGAGTGGGTCTGCTTCTTTTTGTTTTAGAGTTTTCAGGTTTTCTGTTAAGTCACTAATGTGAGCTTTCTCCATTTTCTTTATGTGTGCTATGCACTTTCCTCTTAACACTGCTTTCATAGTGTCCCATAGGTTTGGGTATGCTTTGCCTTCATTTTTGTTGAATTCAAGGAAGTTTTAAACTTCTTTCTTTATTCCTTGACTCAGGGAAATGCAGTTCAGTTTGGTAGACCATCTGACTAGTATGTAGAGGCCCAGGTTCAATCCCAAGTATGGTCAAAATAATAACACACAACTTGTCAAAATGCAGAGTTATGGAGCCCAACAATACATCTAAAATACAACTCCTACACCTAAGTCTCAGGGTCATCACAGAAGATGGGCCAGGAAGAATGTAGGAGCCAGAGAAACAGAGATTTTGCTGTGAGATTGTGTCTCCTAGAAAGGGCAGAAGCTACACCCATGACATCTCCCACCAATGTGGCTAAACATGACATTAACAAGGAAAATACCATGGACAGGTGAAAACTCCTAAGGACTCAACCCTAACCAAAGAATTACAGACAACTAGGAGCAGCCAAAAGTGGGAGAAATGGTCTTCACCCAGGAAAATCACAATGGTTACTCAATACCAAATGACCAACCCTTAAAAGGTATATGTACAAATAACATTTTTCAGACTGTGCAGATTGTATTTATTTATTTAGAAACATACACACACGCGCACACACACACTCACATGTGCAATAGCAACTAAAGAAAAAGAAGCTATAAATTTGAAAGAAAGCTTGCTAGGAACCCAGCTTAGTTAGGGTTTCTATTGATGTGACAAAACACAATGACGTAGGCTAGAATCTTCCCGGTAAGCGCACCTTGGGGTGCTACAAACAATTATTAGAAATGGGCTAGTCCAGGTGTGAGTGTTAGCCGAGAAGAGGCTAGATATAATGGGCCAAGCAGTGTTTAAAAGAATACAATTTGTGTGTTGTTATTTCGGGGCATAAGCTAGCCGGGTGGCCAGGGTGCTGGGGACGCAGCCCCGCTGCTCCTATTACAACAGTAAAATATTACTTTAACTATGCAAACGTGTGTCACATTTGCTTATTCTGCATTTATTTAAT